GGAATGCAGTGGGAGGTCCCCGAGTAGTGGCAGGGAATGGCCGCCACGTGGGTCCGGGGGCACCGCTGCGCAAATGCAGGCGAGAGCTAGCGGAGAGAGGCGAGGCCAGAGGGAGCAAAGCCTGGTACCTAAGAGAAAGGGGAAGGGCCAGCACCGAGGTTTGGAGGGGTGTGTCAGAGGGCCTGGGAGCTGAGCGCCAAAAGCGGGAGTGGGGGGCGCGGCGGGGGGGCGCGGCCTGAAGATCTCAGCGAGACCCGCAGCAGAGCGAACAGGAGTTTGCAACGGTTCCCGGGAGGGTCGAGTGTAAGAGAGACTGTGGCACCAGCCCGCGGCAGCGCGGGAAGAGCCCGGGCCTATGGATGGCGCCCTCGCAGTTGGCGCGTTCCTGCATCCCAGTCCATTGTCCCTGTCTCTGTGCATCTCCATCTCTGCCTCTGTGTATCGCCTTTTCATTTTCATTATCTGTTCTTATGCGCTGGCCCCAGTCTACGTGCCACTGGGTCTGTCGCCCAGTCTGTATTTCATCTTTAGGAAAGGGTCTTAACATTGCAATCGCAGCGCCCACCAGAATAGACCGTCCACAAACCCTAGGCCCGATGTTGGCGCCAAAATCCAGACTCAAAGTGCCAGTCACTCCCCGCGGTTCCCTCAGCCCTGGAAACTCGCTCTTACTTGCAGTGTAGGAAGAATGAATGGCAGCGTCGCGGGGCGGGCGCTCAGGATGCGGGTGACGCGGGGAAGCCGGGAGTGCCTGAGGACCCGGAGCATCTGGGGAGACAGCGTCCCTCCCTCCTGCTGGGGACCTTGGAAGAGTTTGCTCCTGCAGGAACCGGAACACACCCTCTTTTCTCTTTACCTCTAGCCAGTGCCCCCAAGCCCCGCCTCTGCCCTGCTGGCAGTCAGCAGCAGCATCACCTGGCCGCCGTGCTCCAGGGCTCTGGCGCAATAACCGGCCTTGAGAGGGAGGGGGTGTCTCCTATTTACTAACAGTGACGACAGCGCAGGTAAAGATAATAAGTCTCCTGTTGGTTCAGTCCATGCCCCAGGCGAGGCTCTTTCTCCCTTCATTCCCGCCAAATCAGACAGCGTCACTACTGCTTGGAGTTGGTTTGCGTCTTCCAGTACCATCGCCTCAGGTGTTAAATGCGCAGACTGCTGCTTTCAGGAAACTTTGGGGCCGGTGTGGTAGGGAGAAGGTGCAGAGACCCCCCTCCATGTTACCTTTGAGGCCCCAGCATGACCCGAAAATTCCTATCACCCTTCCTCCACGCTGCCCTACTGACTCTGCCCTAGTTGTGAGAGGGACCCTGACACTTGGAAAGACA